GTGACCCTGGAGCTAGAGCAGGGTAATGGAAAAAGCACAACTCAAATTGAGTTGCTTTTCACAGCGTTCTGCAGAAAGCCAGAGAGGGAAAGGGAGAAATGCATAGAATTTGAAAGGGGGAGGGCCAGAAAAATCCATTAAGAGCAAGAAGAAAAAGCAGAATATGCCATGGAAAATAGCCAAAGGAAGGGAGACAGAGAAGACAAAGGAAAGTAAAAATTAGAGAGAAAGGAAGAGGAGGAAAAAGAAGGAAGCAAGGTGAAATGGTAAAGGAAAGGAGCGTCCTTCTGCCCTGCCAGGCAGAGCGATGAGGTGGCAGCACAGCGAGTGGCCCCAGGCAGCAGCGCTCGTTATTTCCATCCTGGCTGATGTCATTGATTGCCTCCCTCCTCCCCTGTCATGCCTGGTGACAGAATGGCAGCCCTTGCGACTCAGAACAACCTGCTCTGTTCCCAGCTGGCCTGGGGAAAAGTTTTCTTTCCAGCTCCATACAGGCTGTGTCTGTGTCTGTGTTTAGGGGGTTTTTGGATGTCCCCTCTCAGCAGTTCCTCTCTGGGACCACCTCCAGTCCAGGCAGGTGGGGATCCTATTCCTGGCCTGCCTTCTGCAAACAGCCAGTTTTTTCCTCAGCTGTGGTGCTGGAAAAAATCCCATAGGACTGTTCCTTCTCTTACCTTGACATTTTTCCGTTGGTAGCATCTTTATTTTTTAAACCAACCTTGATTTTCCCATTTTTCCTTCTTTAAGAAAATTTCCTTCGCAAGGCTCTGATCCTGCAGCATCTGACCACCTTCTGTCAGGGGGTTTAATTAGTCAGGAAAAAATAAAACAAATTATGATTTGTTTGCTGAAGGGAAGATGTGGATTGAGAAAGAAGGTGGAGAGGACAAAGAAACCTTAATAATGAAGGAAGAAAGAAGAATTCTAAGGTACTGGGGTCTAAGTCTTTAGGACTTGCTTAGGATAACGGTAAGTGGCCTCAAGTTGCACCAGGGGAGGTTTGGATTGGATATTAGGAAAAATGGAAAAGAAATCATTGTAAATAATTGAAACAAGGAAATGGAAGAGCCATTATTCCTGGAAGTGATCAAAAAACGTGGATGTGGCACTTGGGGACGTGGTTTAGTGGTGAACATGGTGGTGGTATTGGGTTGATGGTTGGACTTGCTGACCTTAGAGGTCTTTTCCAACCTTGATTATTCATGGTTGGACTTGATGATCTTGAAGGTCTCATCCAATCTAGTCATTCTGTGAATTCTGTGAATTTGATTATTCCTAAAGGAGCGAGCTCCTCTTCTTCCTGCAGCCAGTCATTTTTTTTGTTATCCCCCTTCCTGATGCCAGCAAAAATCCCATCAGGCTGGGATCCCTAACCCTAACCCTTCCTTTTCCGTGGGGTGGAGGGGTGAGATTCATCCTGCATCTCTTCAGCAAAAGCCTTTCTTCTAGACATGGGGCCTGTGAAAATTCGTAGGATGAAGAAGGAGGTGCAGATCAGAGTCTTTCCTGTGGGATGGGCTGCAGGTGGACATCAGTTACTACCCTAAAGCTTGGCCAGTCATCATTTGTGTAATGCCTCGTCTAGGAGCAAACATCTGGGCTAGGAATGATCCAGTACATGCAAAAGATCCTTAATTTGCTTTAGGATCTAGGGGAGGGTTATGGATGATGTGGCACAGTGAGACAACCTGAGGTCTTCTGGGGTGGAGGGATCTCAGGGAGGATGTGGAAGGGAGGGCAATTGGGGTTGCAGTGTTGGGATTTAGGGATGCATCCTCCTCATCTCTTAAAAACCAAGCTCCATTCCCTCGGTGAGCCTCGGATGGTTCAGGAATGAGTTACATGCCGGGCTTTCTTTGCTTTATGGAGCTCCTCCCCCACTTTTATCCAGTTACCCATGAAAAGTCAGTGAAATGAGACCTACTTAAATCAAATGTCACAATCAATGTTCATCCCAGGCCACCATTTGTGCGATGTGAACTCAAATTGCAGTCAGGGGGGAGCAGGGAGAGGGAGAGGCCTGGGAAAGAGCTTGGAGGGAGCGAGCAAGGAGCCATCCTTGGCTGGGTATCTGGTGTTCCACAGTGCTTGGAACACAGTGCTTGGTTTTATCACAGCTATCTCTGCAGTGGGACAGGGCTGTTGTCCGCAAGGACTCTACAGGGGGGAGAAACAAAGCTGTGGCTTCCTACAGGACGTTGCATCCATCTCTGCCCCACCCTACCTGACTAAATCAGAGTCCTTTCCACATTTCAATTTTATAAGGAGCAAAATATGCGATATCAGCACTCACTCTGCCTGGATGATGTCCAAATTCAATTTTGTTGGATGGAAGACAAAATCAAAGCGTTGATATTTTCATTGAAATTTATGTTTACCTCGTTCTCAAAAAAAATGCTTCTAACCTTGCATGAATATTTTGCAGGAGTAAATTCTCAGGGTGTGAGCACAGTCATAGGAGTTGATGTTAAAAATCACAGTGAGCCAAGTCTCCGTAAAAGTATAGGGAAAGAATCCACAGGTGAGCTGGAATGTCTCTTTCATGAGCATTTTGGGAATCTCAAAGCGGAGGAAGATGCAGGAGGGATTGGTGAGGCTCAGGTTTCCTGCCCATGGCTGGTCTGCACCCAGTGAAGATCCCTCAGAGCACCTGTACTCCTTTTGGTGCCAGCAGGGTGCTCAAGTCATTGAATGTGTGTGACATCCCACCCTTAAGGGGAAGGAAGCACCCACAATTTTTGGTGAAAAGGAATGGCAGAAGTCACAGGGGTTCCAAGTTTTATAGGTGAATTACAGCTGGAAATTGTTAGGTTAGTCCCTGCTCTGGTGCAAGCACACGGCAGACAGCTTTGGATAAAGGGGTCGAGTGGAAGGGAAAAAGGAGATGGATTAAAGAGGGGGAGAGAGAAACAAAGGAGAAGCAAGGAAAGGAAGAAAGAGAAATCACCAGTGCTGGCTCCAGCATTGATCCAGCTGATGGGGTGTCCGGGGTCCTGGGGTGCCCATGAGCCCAGGGAGTACCTTTTTATAGGAATGTTTTCTCTGCTTTGGAGAGATGTCTCTCTCTTTCCATGCAAATCAGTTGTCATGCACAGCCTGTTCTTCTAGACCTTTCTGGAAATGGGTTGGAGCTTTCAGGGATCTTGGGCAGTCTTGATCCACCTACAGTCCATGCCTAATTCTTGGCCTTATTCCTGTGCCTGCACTGTGCTGTGTTGTGCTGATTTCCAGGAACCAGAACAAGGATGTTTTTTTTTCCCAGAAAAGTGCTGCCCTACCTGTGCAAGGCCCCTTCTCCAGCCATGTTCTTGCTTGCTCACAGTGTGTTATTACCAGCAATCCTTGGCTGGATCCACGACCATCCATGCTTGAGACGTTCACATTAATCCCCTTATTTTCTAGGCTTCTACAGTGTGTCACTAAATTTTGGAAGTTCATGTTCCATCCTTCCTGACAGCTGCTGTGGGGTTCTTTGCAGTGGCATGGTGAAAGTTTTTTTCCTCATTAATTCCCCCCAACTGTGAAAGGTGCCCTCATTCAAAATAAGCAAATAAGGAGGATCCTCCCAAGCCCTCAAAAATTCAGGGACGATTCTGCTCTGACCTCTGTGCACCAGGGTTGTTCATCTCTTTTTCTGGAGTAACCCTGTAGTGACTGTGGACACAGGTTTGCTCTGGCCATGTTCTGAGCTGGCCTGATGCAGCACTGAGCCCTGCCTGATGCATTTGGCTTTGCAGAAGGCTCAGTAGCCTGGAACGGAGCTGCTGTAGCCTCAGCTCCATGGCATCCCTCTTGACTGGAGGTTCAGGCTGAGCAGCCTCATGCCTGCAAACAACACGGTGTAGTCAAGTCCTTAGAGGACTGCCTGTTTCATTCCTAAATTCATGCATAATTTACTTTTCTTTTTTTCTTTTTTTTTTCTTTTTTTTTAATCTCCTGTGCTAAGCCCTTGCTGTGTCAGAAAGCACCTCATCTCCATGAGTGAAGTGCGAGGTGCTGGTGCTGTGCCAATCTAATGACAACCTTGACTGGGCTCCCTCCCCTCTGCAAACGGTGTAATCACCCTAAATAGAGGGTTCTTGGGTGTCTGTTCTCCGTGGGGCTCTGCCTTTCTCTGCCTTCCTGCCAGCAGAGATCACTAATGTGGAAATTAGAAATGTGCCAGGGGGGAGAAGAAAAAAAGCCTGCAGTAGAGAAAGCCAAGTGGGATTGAGCTCCTCGCTGAGGACAGGGCGAGTTCAGTGATACCAGTGTGGCAGATGTTGGGTAGTTACAGGATGCAGAGAAGTCCATTAGAGAGGTTACAACCTGTGTTTGCTCTTGATGTTGCAAGAGCTGATGCTCTTTTGTATTCAGTCAGGAAAAAATAACCATTCCACACCAGGTTTTCCAGCCTGTGTGATCCTCTTCTATGAAAAAACGCCTCGTGTAGTGGTGTAAGAGCAGTGAATTGATGGATGGTCCCTGTGGGCAGGATGCACGTCTTGTTTTTCCTTCCCTTGCTTCATTTCATCCTTTTCCAGATGAATGTTTGTGGTTGGTGGAAAATTTTCACCTTCTTTTCATCCTCCACCCTTCATCACCTCCATCCCAGAAGAGCTCGTTTGTAATTGTTCTGTTATTGCCTCATTAATTGTCTTCCCAGTTTCACACTGGATATGAAGGGTCTGATCCTCCGCTCATAACCCACACCTTCCACGTGCCTGCCTTCCCTGGATATCAGATAACAATATCAGATATTGTTACCCAGGCTTGACAGTGGTTTGTGGGAGCAGAATCAGGTCCAAACAAATAAATAAAAAAATTTTAAAAAAAATTTAAAAAAAGGCTGGGTCAAGCAGAAACAGATCCTGGTCTCCTTCCCTGCTTATTTGTATGCACAGTGTGATGTGAAGGTCAGCTAAGTGGACACACCAACAAACAGGAAAGTTCTTGCCATGAAATTTTCGTGGTAGAACTGTCTGAACTTAATTTTTAATGTCTCACTTTCTCTCTTTCAGAACATGGAAAAGGTGCTGGTTCCTTCTGTCACGTTAATTGTAGGCTGTGGAGTATCCTCGCTGACACTCTTGCTGTTGATTATCATTTATGTCTCTGTTTGGAGGTATGGCTTTCATTCTCTTCTTTTTGGGGAAAGTAACTGTCTTTTGACCTACACGGATCCTGGAATGTTTGCTCTGTGGTTTTGGGTGTCTGGTGCTTGAGGAGGAACTGTTTGGGAATGAGTGGGCCCTGCAGAAAGTCATCCTGGTGGCTTAGCTGGCATTATTCTCTCCTTTCAGTGCCAGAGAAATTAGCAGAGTGAAATTAGTGCCATGCCCTCATGTAGGGACATTGTTCCATTTCCAAAAGCCTCGTGCTGGTTTTGATGCCTTTGTGTACCCCAGGGAACCTTGTCAGAGGCGAGGTGGACACGCACGGCCTCTTGGCAGGCAGATGCTGCTGCAAGGTAATTCTTTGGGAGCATCCAAGCCTCCGTGACCTGCCATGAAAACATCTGGCCTGAAGAACTGACAGGACTTTTCAGGAGCTTAAGAATGTTAAACCCTAAATCATCTAAATAACTCCACAACCTTTTAGCTACGTTTTGCCTTCAGCTTCAGATGCATATGGGTTCCCTCAGTACATCCCATTGCTGACAGCTCCTGCACACAGGTCAGGTGGAACCTAAAATTGTGTCATTTATGGAGGCTGAAGGGATTTTGAAGCAAAGCTTTGATGAACAATTGGCCCATGCCCCTGTTTGATACATTCTGGTGACTCTAAGCTGGAGGACCCGAAGTGTGCAAGGGATTTTCTCCCTGCATTGCCTTGAACAAGGTCTGAGTTTATCCTACGAGATCCAGGTCTCTCCTAAATCCATGGCAAACACGCTGAGACCTTCATGGCTCGACGCCAGGCAAAGACAAATCAGAACTAGGTGAATGTGAAATCCAAATGGAGTGGTTGCAGGGAGTACTGTTGGGTATTATTGGTGATCCTTTTGGGAGAAGGGATCAGTGTGAGGCTCTCAATTTGTGCAGTGCTTCTTCTGAGTAGGGAGGAAAGGGTAAATTCCATTTAGAGATTGAATTGAGATGACTTTTTCTGCGCTTTGGTAGAGGAAAGAAACAAGAGAGTAAAAAACTGAGAAAAAAAAGAAATGCATCTTTTTTTTTTGTTGATACTGTGACAGTGCATAGTGCCTGGTTAATTTTGGCAGCTGAAGACTGATCATGATAACGTTTATCTAGAACTCAGGTTTTTCCGTGCCTGGGGTATCATTGGATGTGCTCAAGTCCTTGTCCTCTCCTGCTTTTCCTCAGGCTGGGCGGCACTGAGCAGCGCCGGTAGGTGCCTTACTGGGGTCACTGGTGTCAGGATCAAGTGGAAAGTTAGAAGATTAAAGAGCAAGCGTTCGAGCCTCACCCTCTCTTTCCTATCAGAAACAGGGTCAGGATCTGAAACCTAAGCTCAGACATGAGGCTGAATCAGTTTGGAGCATGCCAGAGCCATTTGGAATAACATGATGTATTTTTTTCCAGGACTGTGCTCCCCCCTACCCCTCCAATATTTACTGTTATTGAGGACAGTAAATTGCCTGACCTGTTTCAAATACATTCTGTTTAATTTCTCATTCCACTCTTTGCCTTATGCCTATGCCCAAAACGATCACCAGGAATGGGAGGACACGTTTATGGGAGGCTTGAATGGGTATTTCTGAGCTAGCCAAGGATGGACATGCATTTCCAAGTGATCCTGAGACCAGCTATATCTTGACTAAAGGGCTCTCTATCCTGAGTCTCTCTGTGTAAATATTTGTAAAGCATGATCAAGTGATCTCTAGAATTTCTCTTTGGTGCGCTGAGTTTGTTCCATTTCTTCTCTGTAGATCATGTTTTCATGTTTTCCAAACTTCACAGCATTCCTGTGGCTGAGCCCTGAGCGCTCTGTGTGTCCTTTTTATTTTAGGCATAGCTGCTGGACATGAATGTGCTTTCCTATTAATGGTCTCAGGAACTTTGTATTCAACATTATCTCCTGGCTCCCACTTTGTTTTGCCCTAAATGTTGTATATTCTGTTAGACAGCAGCTGGAGGAGTGCTTAGAAATGGAATCAGCAGTACTGTTGTCTCTAAAACACAGGAGCAGCATCAAAGCAGTTCTTTTCCACCGTGCTGGAGACAAACTCATGTCCTGGCTGCCTGATCTTGTGTGAAGAGCACTCACCAGAGCTCAGCTGTTTCGGGGAGCTTTGGCCGGAATGTTTCCCATTCAGAACTCCGGACAAAGGCATCTGGAGCACGCATCCATAGACCCAGCTTGAGTATGAAACACATCTGATGAATAAGCTCGCTGAGGCTGACAATCTGGAAGCTTTCCCAGAATTTTGCCCAGCTAGGGCTTGTTTGTATATGTGGGAAGCAGAAAGGAAGGGAGGGCGAGAAGGAGGGAGAGGAACACGGTGAAGAAAAGAGGGCAGAGTAACAGGGAGGTGATCCCAGCTTCAGGCTACGTATCAGGGAGGAAAAGAATTTACCCTCCACTCCTCTTTCAAAACCCCCAAATAAAGGCTGCTCCTTGGTGGCACCTACTCAGCCACTGGCATGAATGGCACGAGCTTTTTGAGGCAAGTGATCGCTTCAGACGCGGCCAACTTGGCACGGCCCCGTTGGAAACTGGAAGTTGTTTCTGTTCGACGGCTGTTGGTGGCCTGTTGGTGGCCTCTCTCCAGTTCCCAGTAGACAGATGGCTGCAAAAATCCCTGCTGCAGATGGTGCATCTCTGGTCTTATTAGCAGGCTCGACAGAGGGGTCAGTGACACAGTGGGCCACAGAAGTGGAGTGACCTTGTTCCGTCTCGGCGCGGACTGTCCTGGGTCACAGCTGGAGGCACGGTCTGTGTGTGGCCCTCGTGCTCCACCACCCGTGTGGAGAAACAGGGGGAATTGCCAGGAAAAATTGAAAACTGGCATGGAAATGGGAAAAAATGGGGGGGGGGGGGAGGGAAAACCCAAGCACTCAGGGATCAGAACAGGTGAAATGAAGCCTCTTTTCAAGCAGCTCTTTGACACACTGGCATTTCAGGAGCGCCCCGATGTGTTTTCCATCCCTGAACTCATTTGCGGCTCAACAGCCTCTGGAGTCAGTGACCTTTCCATAGCACCGGGATCGATCCCTGCTATCGAGCAGCTCATCCACCAGCCCATCAGCATGTGTGGCACGGCAGAGCTCTGCCCCTGGCAGCAGCTGGGGAAGTGCTGCATCGCTGCAAGAGAACAGCCCCAGCTTTTCTCACTCCTGAGGATTGATTGAGTGGCTGTCAGTGAGCTGGAGGGGCTGTTAACACTTGCTTTAAACCCAGGAGCTCACTGGGGATGCTGAGGCACTCCTGGCCCTGGTGGGAGGTGGCAGGGATGAGTAAGTGGCTGTGTGGAGAGGGATGTGTGTACACATGGTGAGAAAGCAGCAGTGACTCAGTGTTTGTGGAGAGGAGAGGAGTCTGATGGGGGCAGAGAAACAGACTGCGGGCTTTTCCCACCTTTTCCATCTGTCTCAGCTGGTGCAGCATGTGAGGATCCTCACTGGTGACCAGTGACAGGACCTGTGGGAATGGCTGGAGATGTGTCAGGGGAATTTAGGTTGGGTGTCAGGAAATATTTCTTAATTCAGGGGGTGGTTTAGCACTGAGCAGGGTCCCCTAGGAGTGGTCACAGCACCAAATATGCCAGAGCTCAGGGAGTGTTTGGACAACACTCTCAGGCACAGGGTGGGATTGTTGGGGTGTCCTGTGCAGGACTTGCTGATCCTTGTGGATCCCTTCCAGCTCAGGACATTCTATGATTGTAGGACACAGTCTGGAATAGAAATTCCCTAAATTATCGGTGAGTTGTCCCCAGTTTTGTGACTGAGTACAGTGTATTTTGATAAGCAGACAGAATCCATGTATCAGTAGAGGGATAGCAGGGCAGCACCCTGGAGAAGCTCTGTCTTTTCTGCAGATGTGTTCTTGGGCAAAACCCATCAAGTTCTGGTTTTTTCCTCCCTCTGATACAAATTCCTGACTTCTTTGGCCAGAGGGTCTGGAGAGGAATGGTGATTCCTTTCTGTGGAGCATCCTGTGCTGGAGAAGAGGAAATGGAAGAGAAAAGCAACCGTGGCAGGAGATCTTCTTAGCATTCTGACTGAGCAGAAACTTAACAAGGAAATGTTTGGAATGCAGGTCAGGCTACCAAGGAGGACTCTGGAAGAATTGCCCAGGAACTCAGGATTGAATTAGAATGGTCAGAGCTCAGCTGCGTTTAAAACTGGTCAGGGATGTGAAAGGCATCAAGAATGGGTTCTGGAGGCATGTCAGCACCAAAGGATTTCCCAGGAAAGTGTTTGCCTTGGTGTTGATTGGGACAAGCAGCCTAATGGATAAGGAAGTCGAAAAGGTGAAGGCCTTTTTTCCGTGTTCTGGTGGCAAGGTTCACTCCCAAATTCCTCCACAGAGTCAGAATCCAGGGAAGAAAATGCTCCCCACTGGCAAGGAAAAGAGTGGCAAGGACTGTTTAAGTTATCTGGATGTTTCCAGATCCATGGGATGCACTGAGGGAGATGTTTGGTGTGACTGTGGAGACTCTCTGTCACCTGGGGAGCTTCCTGAAGGCTGGAAGAGGGCAAATGTTACACCCACCTTTAAAAAGGGCGAGGAGGAGGATCCAGAGAACAGCTGACCGGTCAACCTACACAGCCCCTGGGATGATTAAAGAGCAGGTAGCTCTAAAGGTTATTTCCAGGCAAAATGATGGACAAGGAAGCAATTTGGAGTAGACAGTGAGGATTTCTGGCTGCCCTGCTTTCCTTTTGGGATGGGATGACCGCTTCCATGGACAGTGGGGAGAAGCAGCTGGTGTGGATTTTGACATTGCCAGGGCTGTTAACACAGTTCCCAAAGGCGTTTTTGTGTCCAGATCATGGAATTATGCGCTGGATTGGTGGCTTTATATCTGGATGGAATTCCTGCAGGATTTGAGGGTAGTGGTCAAAGGTTTGAGGCCTAATCAAGAGCTGGTCACCTCTGGCCAGGGTTGGTAGAGTGGCCAACATTGTTTAATGTCTTCTTTAACAACCTGGACAATGTTTGGCATTCCTGAGGCCACACCTGGAAAAGGTGCCCAATATTGGATACCCCCAATACCAGAGATGCCAGCACGTTGCAGCAAGTCCAGTGGATGCTGAAGGAGCTGGAGAATGTCAGAGGAGGCAAGGGAGAAAACTTGGAGAAGAGGAGGCTGTTAAAAGCAGTCATGGAGAAGCCAAACAACTTGCAGAGGTAGGCAGGGAAAGGTCTAGAGGCACCAGCTGCAGCAGGAAAAGACGCAGCTGGATATAAAGCAAAATAATCCTTCACCACAAGAGCAGTTAAGTTAAGCTGTTTAGTGCTGTAATAAGTCAGCCAAGAGAGGTGGTAGCATTTCTCTTCCTGGTGATTTTCAAATCTCAATCAGACGAGACCCTGAGAAACTTGATCTGACTTTGAAATCAGTCCCGGTTTTTTGGGCATAGGATTGGACTGGGAACTTGAGAGGCTGGTTTTTTTTCCCCCCTAAAAATTATTCCAGCTAAATTATTCTGATTCTTTTCATTGCCAACCCACGTCTCATTCTTTGGAGGTTCAGGGATCTGGAGAACAAGATAAATTCTCAGGGTGTGAAGGAAAGCAGGGAAAAAGGAGAGTTGGTTTAAGGGGGCTTAAAGGGGAAAAAGTCTTAAGACAGTTGGATTATCTCCCCTTACTTTAAAATACAGATTTATGATCAACTAATTTCTTACCTTTTTCTGATGAGTGGAGACCTTAGAAGTTCATGCTAATAGCAGTGGGATCATAGTGTTGCTACATGGATTTATTACATCTCCTTCCCACCAGGACAGAGCCCAAATCTCCCTTTCTACCCCGTAGAAGCTGCTGACTGGAAAGGTTTTCGAGGTTTTGCTTCCCACAACCAAAGCATGAATAGATTGAGGTCTCAGGACCCTCCAGCCACAAATGGAGCAGGGTCCAGGTGATGCCCAGCATTGTTTGGAGCCCAGTGAAATCAGAAAATTTGGGCTCAGCTTGGCTCTGAGAGGAACCAGAAGCTCGTTTTGCAGCCTGTCAGCCCAGCTTTGTGCTGAGCTGGGATCCTACATTTTGCAGCCTTTTCTGGGGCTGGGAGAGTTTCAGGGAGAACTTCCTATAAACCAGATTTCCAACAGATTAAGTAGGAGTTCATGCTACCTTTGCTTTTCTTTTTTTGCATCCAGGAAAGCATATCCTCACCATTCAGTTTTCTCTGAACGCACAGCTCAAGGGGAAGTTAAAAAATAAAAGTTTTACAGCCTTCATTAGGTCTAAAGCACAGATTTACCCTTGGCAGAGCACACACGTGCAGTCCTGCCTTCCTCATCAGAAACTCAAAACTCTGCAGCCAAGGCACGACCAACTCACTCTCGCTAAAATTAATTAATGAAATTAAATTCCCAACATAAATAGTTGATGTGCTGGAATATAGGAAATAATCCTGCATTAGCCTCCAGGGATGAGCTGGTTGATTAATACATCTGTTTCTAATTTATAGAAGCATCAGCATCTCCTCTTCACTCATCTGGCATTCAGGCAGGGCACTGGCAGCATCTCTGAGATAATTCACGTGTGTGAGTGTTGGTGTGGTCAGATCTTGAGTCAATCCTTGAGGACTTGCACCTTTGCAGTTCCCTTTTCATTTTATTGGGTACATAAAAGTGCCTTCAAAGAAATTTCCCTCCGTAGCCAGTGGTTTGAATTAATTGTGGTGCCCTTACCTCGGCGGCGAGCCTGGTGCTGTGCTGCAAATCAGAAATGACAAATAGCTGGCTTCTGCAAGGTGCTGAAGGCAACAGCTCCCTAACTGCTGTCCCTGATGTCCCAAACCCACAGCTGCAGTTACATATTTGGCCTAGTTTGGAGAAGTGGTATAAAAAAAAGCCAAAAAAAAAACCAAAAAAAAAGAAAAAAAAAAAGTCGGAAATGCTTCTCACCCCAGGAGGGGTTGTTAGGCTGAAGGAAGGGGAATGCTGAATCACACACACTTTGTTGTCAAGGTGCATGTGTTTGTAATCTGCTTCCATCGCCAGCATGCCTGTGGCTCTTGGTTGGGAATCTTTTCCGTGTGTTGCCTGTTTGTTTTCTTTCAAGCTCCTTTTCAAGCCCCTCTTTCAAGTAGGCAGAGCTGAAGAAGATTTGCAGCACTCTACTGTTTTAGGAGGGGCTTAGGCTAGGCTGGCCCCTTGCTTGTTGCCTCCTAACTCCAGCATTGATGGGGGGATGATGGAGACATCTTCTCCCCCTCCCTTCCCTCCTTGTTCTTGTCTGTCTAGCACATAAAATCTGCAGGAAATTGGCAATTCTGTAGAGCCTGGCCTGGATTGTTGCTTTTTGGAGGTCACCCAGGGCAGGCTGTGACAGGGTGGGTCTCCCTCCCCTCTTCTCTCACTGCAGGTACATCCGTTCGGAGCGCTCCGTCATCCTCATCAACTTCTGCCTCTCCATCATCTCCTCCAACGCTCTCATCCTGATCGGACAGACCCAGACCCGGAATAAGGTAAGGGATCTGTCGGGGCTTTGTTTATTTGTTTGCTTTCCCCCTGATTTAGCACTGAAATGATCCATTCAGGCAGCGCTTCCTCATTTTTCCTCCATCTGTTAATTAGCGACATGTCAAAGACACGGCTAAATGGCAGATTTCAATTTTCTCTCTCGCTCTCTCTTTGATAATTTGTCAGCATCCTCAGGGCTTTGATTAAAACCAATGTGATATTTTTGAATATCTGCCTAGAGTAGCTGGCACATGGCACGGTGAAGAAGCGTGGTGATTTGCAAGGCTTTAACCATTTTATTTTCAAAAAAATTACAAAGACAGATTGAGAAAGGGCTTTTAAAAAAAAAACCCAAACAAACAACTTCTCAGCTTTACATTTATGTCTCCAGCAGTTTTTTATTCTCTGAGCTGAAAGTACTTGGCAGATGTTAATGAACACAGGCACAAAACTGTCCAACCTTTTTTGGGGATGGGAAGCATTGCCAGATGCACCGTGAGCACTGCAGGGCCACCAGGGATTCTGAGCAGATCCCAGAGTGACTCCAGCAGTCCAGGCAAGACCCAGCGTGGTTTTCCAAGCCATGAGCACTGGTTGCTCTCTTCCCAAAGACCCAGCTGGAGAGGTGTGTGTTGCCTCCATGACTTTTTTCCCTCAGCTCAAGCACTTTCAGGTTCCCTGTTGATGTCTGGCATGACAGATCACTGCTCACCATTAGTATTTTCCCGCTGTAAATTTTCCCGTCTTCCCAAATGCTCCGACCATCATAACTCTGTTGAGCCAAAAAACGTGAGGCAAGATGCCTCCTCCACTCTTTCTGCTGCCAAAATCACAGTCAGAAGTCAAAAATTAGTTATTGCTTAACAGGAGCCGGTGACTAGCTGGGTTTTTTGAGCCCCTGCTTTGGCAGTGTGAGCACAATGTCACTGTTGGAAGCATATCTGGAAGAAATTCTTCCCTGTGAGGGTGGAGAGCCACTGGAGCAGGTTGCCCAGAGAAGTTGTGAGTGCCCCGACACTGGAAGTGTTCAAGGCAATGCTGAACGGGGCTTTGAGCGAGGAGAAAATCTTCCTGCCCATGGCAGGCGGTTGGAATGAGACGATCTTTGAAGTCCCTCCTAAAACTCAACTCATGCTATGATTTTGATTCCTGCAGAGAAGCTGAAGGATTTAGTGAATCAGGGACTCATTTCTATGGAAGGCCCTTTGGGTTAGGGTTAGGTTGTTTTAGCAAAAGCTTTCCAGCTGCTGGAGCCCTGTGTGTGTAGACAAGTGTGGAAACAAGCAGCCAGCTCTGCTCCTCCTACAAAGTGCCCTTCAGAAACTCCATTCCCAAAGCAGAGTTGTCTTCCATTCGCCAACGTGGTTGGCAAGAGGTGGAGAGAGGGTGACCCAAGCTCCTGCTTTCCTTGGTTGTGTTTTCTGCCACACCAAACATGTGCTGGGAGCTTCTTTCCATGGAATGAAACACTGAGGGACACTCAACAGGACAAACCACGGCTGGACCTCCTCTTCGGTGGTTCTTCTTCACCTCAGGAGAGGAGCTGGAAGTCTTCCTCCTCTCCCACCTCCTCCAGAGCACAGTTATGAACCCAGGTTCTCCCCGGTGGTTTTTTTGTCCCGTGACTCTGGGAGTTCACTGTTGGAGCTGTTGGTGGGGATTCAAAGCTCCCGGCAGTGATGGCAGGAGGCAGATTAGCTCTTTGCACATCCATATGCATGAAAGCCCAGAAATAGAAAGGTTATTCTTGGATTTCCTCTCAGCCATCTAGTAAACAGTCTCTGGCAGGCAACAGAGAAAGAAAACTATACAGAGGAGAGACGAAGGAGTGTAAATTAAGATTTTATTCACATTCAATTATCGATAATAGAGCGCCTTAAAATGTTGGTGATGGATTTATAATTGCGGCTTCTCCGGGAGATTTCTGCGGTATCGGCTTCCCTGGAAATGTCAAATTCTCCCTGGATTTCCATCCGTGTAACCTCGAAGACGAGATTCCACGCCTGGATTTGCTAAGCTTCTTGAAGATGAAAGGCCTGGGAAAAGGCTAAAAAAATTACAGTCAGCAATCTGGGTATACAAAGGAAAGGGATGCTGCAGGAAGTGGCCGTGTCTCGAGGCTTGTGCTGGAAGGGAACAGATTTCCCCTCTTAAAGGAAAACAAGGGCTAATGGCCTTGACAGACTGACATGCTCTGCTGGGTCTTGGGACATCACATCCCTGTGCTGAGCCCTTCATGGGGATGTTTGGTTTTCCCCACAAGGAAGGGAAAACCTGCAGCAGAGGTTGCAGAAGCAAATATTTGCCTGCCTATCAGTTGGCCAAGTTCATTTGAGGTGATGAGTTCATCCTGGTCCAGCTGAGATGTGCGTATTTCTCTTGTCTTCCCCTCCTCTCTTCTTCTCTTTCTATCAAAGCTATTCATTTGAGAAAAAAAAACAAACCCAAATGTATCTCTGTGGTGTAAAATTGTAAAGCAAAGCTTTTCTCTGCCCTTTACAAGGAAGAACTGTGTTGGTTTGAAACAAAATCAAAAAGGTAACGTGAACAGTGTTGTACCTGATATCAGTCAAAAAAGAAAAGGGTTCTAAAATAACAATCTCTTAAAATCCATTCCAGAAAGCGTCCTCTGTTTGTAGCTGTTTCCTATGGGGTTTGTAAGCTGATAAATAGGAACCACCTTTTTTTTAGGATTCTTGTAAAATGTGAAAATTACCGGACATTATCATATTGAGCTGTGTTACTTGGACTGAACTGACATCCCGAATCCACTTCTAAGCAGAATATGGAGGGATTTGGTGTCAAATGCAAATCTGGAACAAAAAAGACAGCTCCTATCGCAGAGAACACACGGTCTTGCTTTTATTCACAGCCTCTGATAACGTCGGGTGGTGCCAGTGGATGAATCGAGAGCAATCCGATAAAATCATGATAAAAGCCACTCTGTGCATGAGAGCTCTGGCTTGAAAAATGCTGGTGGTTTAAAAGAGAGAAAAAAGAGAAAGGTTCATTGACCGTAAAGCCAAGTCCATGTTTTCCCATATAACTCAAAGCAAAGAAATCCTTGATTATAAACCTCCCCCTCCCCCAAATGCCTGAAGCAATTTTTTTTTTTTTTTTCATCCAGAGTCACTTTTGAAATCTATTTGCTCTCCCTTCTCCTTGGGAGCTGCTGGAGTTTCTTCCTATCACTTTCTTCTCAAGTACATTGATTCACAGTTTTCAGCTCACAGATGGGGGGAAAACTGGCTGAGTGAAACAGAGCGGCACCAATTTGCACCAGTGAAAGATTTGGCCTTGCTGAGTTAAAACAAAGACGAGCTTGTCAGCTTTCCAGTCCATCTCCCTGGCACTCCAGGATTGTTCTTCCTAATGCATTTGCCAGTTCTTTCCCCAGTTTAATTTTAAATGGCTTAAGCTGCCTGCATTTCCCTTGTGAGATTTCCCCACCAAGTAGTAGAGCTCACCATTATGAAATTCTTTCTAATCTAGGAGGGTTTTTCTTTATTTTTCCTTTTTTTTTTTTTTTTTTTTTATCTCCTCCCTGTTGGTAGTTATGTGCTCTTGGACAACTGTGCCCTCATGTTTGCAGTCTTTTCCCAGCCCCTGGCAGCCATGGTTTCACCCAGCTCTCACGGCTTAACTCTTTCACTCAGCCCTGTTTTTCTGGCAGGGCCACCATCCAAATTGCCTTCCTCGGATTTCATTTCCATGGCTGGGCTGCCAGGGACGTGTGGTGCTTCGCAAACCTTTTGAGCTGAGATTAGTGCACTATTTACTAACGACTCCATCCCCCCCTGCCTTGAAAGGATCATGGCAATAGTTTGGGTGTTTTGGAAATTAAATAAATCCTGCAGAAGCCAAGAAAGCACCAGGATGGGATGTGTGCTCAGACTTCTAGTAGAAGGTGTCCCTGCCTGTATTGGGGCAGGGGGGGGTTGTAATTAAATGATCTTTAAGGTCCCTCCCCACTCAAACAATTTTATAATTCCACAATTCTTCTACAGTGTTAACCATGGCCTTACCATAAATCTCATTCTTAAGAGCAGCTGATTTCCGCATAGTACTTAAGTTTAAAGCTTTGTTCTTTGCTAGGTCAAAGCTTGTGGAGGAACCTGCCCCCTCTTAAACAGTATTTCCATGTCCTGATCTCCATGACTTTTCCTTCCAGAGCCCGGTTTGGAAGCGTCTCCCCACGCCTTCTGCTCTGCTCCCTGCTGCTCTCTCCTCCTGCCGCTCCTCTCACGTGTCCTCCTTTCCTCCTCTCTCCAGGTGATCTGCACGCTGGTGGCGGCTTTCTTGCACTTCTTCTTCCTCTCCTCTTTCTGCTGGGTGCTGACCGAGGCCTGGCAATCCTACATGGCCGTGACGGGCCGGTTACGGAACCGCATCATCCGCAAGCGCTTCTTGTGTCTCGGATGGGGTGAGGATCCGGGGGCTGCGCAGCAGAGAAGGGCCAGGCTGCAGTAGGGGCTGGTGCTCCTCAGGAGGCTTGGCAGAGGCTGCTTGGAACCTTTCCAGAGGTTTCAGGAAGGGCTGAAATGGTTAAAAATAGAGAGCCATAAGCTGAAACCTCCTGCCCAGTGCACCCGAAAATGGAGGAGTCGAGTTGAGGTTTCAGAGGGTGCTCCAGGGGTGGTTTCTCCTGCGGTTGGGTCTGTTTCTTGCTTTCTACTTTTCTCTCTCTGTCTGTCTCCCTCTGTGTTGGACATGTTCTGTTGGTACATGATACCAGCCAAGGGAATCCTGGCCTGGATCTGCAGCACTGTGGCCAGCAGGACCAGGGCAGGGATTGTCCCTCCCTGCTGGGCACTGCTGAGGCCACACCTCAAATTGTGGGGTCACTTTTGGACTCCTCTCTACAAGAATGATATTGAGGTGCTGGAAAATGTCCAGAGAAGGGAATGGAGCTGGGGAAGGGTCTGAAGCACCAGGAGTGGTTGAGGGAGCTGCAGAGGCTCAGCCTGGAGAAAAGGAGGATCAGAAGGGACCTTCTGGCTCTCCACAGCTCCCTGCCAGGAGGGTGCAACCAGAGGGGGCCAGGCTCTGCTCCTAGGTAAAAGTAATGGAACAGGAGGAAACAGCTCCAATTGCACCAGGGGGAGGTTTAGATGGGGTAATAGAGAAAATTATATCACAGAAGGGATGGCCAAGCATTGGAACAGGCTGCCCAGGGAAGTGGTGGAACCACCATCCCTGGAAGCGCTCAAAAACCCATGAAGAAGTGACATTTAGGGCCAAAGTTTAGTGGTGGACCTGGTTGGACTCGATGACCCTCGAGGTCTTTCCAGCCTTAATGATTTTATGGTTCCAAGATTCTGCAGAGCAACCTGGAGTGAAGCAAACTCTGAAATCCTGTCTCCATGGCAGCAGCGCCTTTCGGAGACAAATAAACCGCGAGACTGCTGCAGATGCTTGTAACTAATTTTTCTCCCTCTGCCTCTGCCGTATGTTTAATTTATTAGCCTTAAATGATGCATTCTGTAGTAGAAAACAAATACAAACCCCATAAACCTGGGCTTTCAAAGCGATAACAAGGGTGTGTTTGAAAGGAGCGGTGGCACAAAAAGTTGCTGAGAAGTGAGGAGGCAGAGGAAAGAAAGGAGTGCGGCTGAGCTCTATTAATGTCTCATTTTACTACTGAAGTCTCACAATTCACCCCAGGCAAGAGATTTCTGGTGCTTACCAAGCACCCTGATGTGATTTATTCTGGCACATCAAGAGCCGTCCTCATTGCAGCACCTTCATCCCTTTAAGTTTTCCCTCCTAAGCTTTTGCTTACAATAGAGAATAAATTGTGTTATTAAAATCCAGGGTTTGCGTGTTAGCAGGAGCAGAACCACAATACCTGCAGAGGACAGGCTGCAGGAGCCTGGGTGTGCTCATGCATATGTTTATACCTCCTTGGTGACTCCAGCAACATCAGGAATATCAAATGTAACACACTAATAGCTTTCCTAGGTAATAAAAAGGGATTTTTTTTTTTTTATTTGTAAAAGCTGGGACAGATGGGCGTGTTAGCCAAGGGAATTTTGGATGAGCAGCATTCACATTTGTAGTCTGTACAGATTAAAAAAAATAAAAAAAAATCCCCCTACATGTGTAGAAGCATAATTTGCACTGCTAGTAAAATGTAGTCAGCTCTGAGCTAGGATGCACTGCTGATAAATGATGCATAATAACCATTTGGAGTAGGTTAGGACAAGAAATGAAGAACACTCTTGCCTATTAAGGCAGCAAGGGAATTTTGGATATTTAGCATCCTGCTAGACTTCAGCTGTAGAGCTGGGATTAATGGCACTTGTAAGAGGAAAGAAGCCGAAAATATGTTTTAAAGAGCATAATCTGAAATAATTAGCACAATTCACTTTGTCATGGGCTGATTCTCCCCCCTTTCCCCTCTTTGCACATTTGCATTTCTGTAAGCCGTCGTTCAGGACGTCTTTGCCAAGTTCTCAGCTGTTCTCAGCTGTAGCTCATTGAAGCTGCAGAGAATTTCAGCAGCAGGGAGGATTATTTTTTATTTCTTTGGTCTCCTCTTGGATGTGCAACTTTGCAATTCAATTTTTGAAATTATTATTAGTAATAATTATTGTCATTAATGATTCTTGGCCGTGCTTGGACAATGCTCTCAAGTTCATGATGCAACTCCTTTGGGTGATCCTATGCAGGGTCAGGAGCTAGACTTGATGAACTTTGTGGATCCTTCCAATTTAGGATACTCTCTGATTTAGAGTAGACAGATAAATTGTTCCCTGGGAACAACTCAGTCATCATACTTAGCCCCAATAAAGAAGAAATATTTTTTGTCAGGATTTTTATGACCCTGTTATAGTTTCCACAGCTGGATTTTTAATGCTGCCATAGCTCAGCCTCTGAGTGGGTCTTCAGCTGTTTATAACCCAAATGGCTCTTGGGAATTATTAGCAAACATCTTCTCCAGTGGAACATGATTAACACATGGCCTGATTCTCCTGTGACCTGGAAGTATAAAACTCTTGGAAAGAGGATTTGGATAGGATTGCTTGGAATTGTGTTAAATTCCCTTTGCGCGGAAAGTCCCCGAAGCCTTGCTGGTACCACACCAGGTGCGTGGAACAGGCCAGTTAGGAATAAGTGTCTTGATGATCATAAAAAAAAATCGATTAAAATTTGATTTTTTTGGTGGGGATTTTTTTCAGTTTAATCAATTTAATCCCACCTAACTTTGCTTAGACCGCTGATAGCTCTCCCAGGGCTGCACCTCTCATTGTGATGCTCTTTGGCTCAACCACCATGACATAGCTGCTACCTATAGTAGCTGCTCCTTGTCCAGACCCATTCCCAGCCCAAACTGAGGCTTTTACCCAGCTTTGGAACAATCCAGTCCCTGGAGCTGCCAAGTTCACAGCCCCACTCTGGATTTCTGCATAATTACCACGTTGCAGAGAAGCACTTTGCGAAGAACAAGTTGCTATTTTTGGCGGAGTCTTTGCCAAATTTCGTCTTTCCCAGGGTCTCTTGCACAAAGCTGGATTCCTGAAAATGTCCTTTCCCCGTGTGGTTTCTTCCTGTGGGATGCTGCATTGATGGGATATGCGTAGGGAAGGCAGCAGCCAGGATTTATCCAGATGAGGTGTGAAGGAGGCTCAGCGAGAGGAGCAAGAGCCAGTGAGGGAAAAAATGAGAAAAAGAGGAATGGAAAGGAAAAAGAAAAGGAAAAAAAGAAAGGGAAAAAGGAAGGGAAAGGAAAAAGAAAGGAAAAAAAAGGAAAAGGAAGAAGAAGAGGAGAGGAAAGGGGGAGAGGAAAAGAGGAAGGGAAGGGAAGGGAAAGGAAGGGAAAGGAAAAAAGAAAGGAAAGGAAAAAGGAAAGGAAAGGTGCGGAAAGGAAAGGAAAGGTGCGGAAAGGAAAGGAAAGGTGCGGAAAGG